TCAGAAATGTCCTAGAAATGTGCTACAAATATACCATAAATGGTAATTTCAGGACCATCAAAAGTTTTCCTTGCCCGGACCTTTCCTCATTGCAAACATGAGGCAGAAATGATTTCTATATATGTTCTTTCAGATGTCCTGAAATGCGCCACAAGGTCTCCTGAAACATGAACTCTTTGCCGTACTGAAATGTAGCCATATTGAGCCATTTCAGGTTCATTTCAGGCTACACAACATTTATCATTTTCCTGCACCACAAATGGCTACGAAAGTGGTAGCAAATCTATCATTTTGGGATGCCAGAAAGCCCCGGTTAAGTCTTCAAAAATGAAACAGTTTTGATGGCTTGACCGGGACATTTCAGGTGATCTGAAATCAGCTCATGCCCGTAGTGTTGTGGCATTGGGGTTGCTTTACTCCGTGATGCATTCTCGCATATTAAGCGCTCCAAATCGCTACTCGCTCTCTTCAAGGCAACTCCGTACACTGTCATTTCTCGACTCAAAAAGCGGCACGAGTGACTAAATTAGTCCTGTATAACGATCACAGCAGCAACGGCGACGGCGGTTAACCAAGTTTTTAGCGGCTTCTAAGGTTGGATCGCAGACCCGAGATTTTTTGGCCTGTGACAGAGGGACCTTTCGCAGCTTCAGAAGCATTTAGAGGAGGTATCATGATTCAAGTAACGGTGTCAGATGAACTCAGGAAGGGCCTGGTGTTCGCAGCTCTCAGCTCACGATGGAAACAGTTGCAGTGCAATTCTCGCCATCCGTGGCCCGGTACTCGAGTACTCACCTATCACCGGTCACCGGTCACCAGTCGTAAGTTCACCAAATGGCCAATGCTCAGCGCTCAGTACTCAGTGCCTTTATATTTATTCACATTTCTCCCCTCACAGCTGTCTTCGGCGAAAGCGTCAGTCACCACCGCATCACCGGTCGCTAGTCACTAGCCGCTGACCGGTGAGACGTTCGGTTTTGGCTATCACCTACCGAGAAAGCTCCGGGTTAACTCCGCTTTCCCAGACGCCCAGACCGTGACTAGCCCGGACATTAGGGGTGTTCAAGGTTCGCGCGCGGGACCGATTCACGGCCGCTTCAAGAGTCGTTTCGAACGAAGTGAAACGCGACTGAAGCGCGCGTAGACTTTGAACACCCCCGATCACGAGGGAGTAAAATCGAAGTGCTGGCGGCGCGAGGGACACATCCGCCTCATTCCTAATGGTCTATATACACTCCATTATACCTGTAGCGGGGCTCCTGCATGCTCTCAGGGAGCGAAGATGCCTCCAAAAAATTACCTGTTGGTATGCACCATGGGGCGGCCGAGAAATACTTGTATGGGGACACGCTTTTCATCGTAACATGCAGAAAATGAGTAGCAAAATATGAATATAAATTGATCCCACTGTCACTACTCCATGTGCATGGGGTTATTACAAAATTGATGCAAATAGCACAGGAGGAGGTGGAGGGGGGTGCCAAGGACGGGGCAAAGCGGGTTGGTTTGGAAAGCGAACTTGAATCGAGCGAAAAGCGGCGTGCGAAGCGGCTCAGGAGCCGCTTCGACGGACAACCTCGATTCGACGCGATTCAGCACGATTCAGCCCGAATCGTCGCTTCAGGACCCCGAAACCGTGCCGCTTCGAGTTTCCGTTTCATCGTCTGAATTGCCATCAAAGCGAGTCCAAAACGCGTTCAAAGCGAACTTTGAACACCCCTAGTATCTGGGAGATATTGAACATCATGCGGGCGTGATTTCGGTCATTCGAGAATCTGATCGTTGAGCGTTGGTTTTTGTCTGACCATGTCATACAAGTCTCAAGATACTTTGCATCCGAGAATCTGACCATACTGTACCGCCACGACCAACAGTTCATGTCACGGTCATGGAGCCTCTGAACAGGCTGGGCTTGAACAAGTGGTCACGGTCACGGTAGGGCAATGAACTGGCTGCATCACCGTGACATAGGCGCTTATAAATATAATCTTCATTTTTGCTCGACTTTTGGTTATCAATGCACAACGTTGAGATTATAGCGAGGACATGTGGTATCAGCATAACCAATAACATAGATATCTATAGTACACTGTGTGGCATGTCATCTACTTCGTCAGGTTCATCTGCACAGTCTGTGTACTCGACATCAATGTTGTCGGACCAGTCGACATCCAGGACGGCTTCGTCTTCAAGAGCGACTAGTGTGCCGTCCACTGCATGAGCATACCCAGAGGGAAGCACATAATCTCCAGCTGACAGGAGGTGTGCTTTGGCGTCATGCAAGGGAATGCTTGCGTCAGGGTAATTCGGGCACTCACGGTCATCCGGGTACACAGCTTCGTCTTCGCACAGGCGAGGGGTACGAGAACCTTTCTTGAGCTCGCTCCAGAGCCCCGGCTCATTCTTTTCAACTTGTTGAAGAACCTGCAATGCCTTGCGACTTATTAGAGATGCCTGTGACAAGTTCAACTCCTTGTCCGCAAGCCGGCATCCCGAAAATGCCTGTGATGCAGCAAATGAGCCAGCCTCAGGTGGTGCTAGGAGAGCAAAGCGCACCTTTTCAATAATGATCTTGTCATTTACTGCATGATCGGCATTGACGAGCCATTGAATGCTGCGATTGTGAAGTGCACCAAGGCTGTTGTCAATGCGCAGATCTTCTGGGGAGACGCCAGAATGCAGCTTGTTCTGGATTTCCACAACAAGGTCATCGTGCTGTGCACGCCGGATTGCAAGTTTCATGAGGCGCTGTATACTGACATCACATGGCTGCCAAATTCCGGTGCAGCCACCCGGAACAAAGTCGAGGATAATCCAAGGATAGGCAGCCTTCATCCATGTACGAAACTGCTCGCTTCGATGCACCGACCAGACATCAAGTTCCAGAATACACTCCTGATCTGGCAAGAGTCCAAGTTGCTCCTTGATGCTGTTGAAGTAGGGGACAAGAATGTGGGTGATGTAGCTGCACATCGTGGCAAACGTAGACCAGTAGTTGTCACTCATCGAAGATTCAAAGTGGAAGCCAAGCTTTTCAGCTTCGGCGTAGCCACGCGCTGAGCGAGAAGGGAGTGATCCAGCAGTTTTGCCTTTCCAGATTGCTTGAAACGGCAGGGCGACCCCAGATGCAAAGACACCAACCAGTATTGTGAATGCGCGCTTCTCTTCCTTTCTGATACAGGTCACTTGCTTGCTGTTCTTGACTTCATATGTCCAGCCGCATGTGTCCATCAGTACACACTGAGCTTGGTCGATGTTGACCCGTAGAGCGTCAGGAATCTGAAGGTCGCGAATGGCAAGCGCTTGACAGCAGAAGGAAGCACGGCAGAGCTCAGGTGTGTTCTTAGGAATCTTCTGCGCTGCACGTGTTGCTTTTCGGATTGACCATTGAAGGTGGACTTGGAGGAAACGGCGGACAAAGGTGATACTGCATCTGAGCTTTCCGCGTTTGGTATCAATGTTAAAGACATCCGGTGCATGTTCCTTGAGAACAGCAATCATAACCGCCTGGGTGTCAGCAACTAACAATCCAACTGGACTGAGCTACGACAACGCTGAGGAGACAGACGAGAGGAATGTGAGTGAGTAAAGACCAGCTCGAGTCTGGCTTGTTATTGAGCAATACGAGCTCCTTTTATACATGTCAGACTCAATAACTAGATTATCCTACGAATATACGGAGGTGTATAGAACTTGAAAGAATATTGTGGAATCTGGGAGAACTACCCGGAATGCGTAATATTCATGACACTGGGCCATGCCAGCTGAGATGCGAATCTTCGCTGCTCGCAGCTGTTTCAACTGACAAATGATCGCATTGTATGCATCAGGATATTTCGTCTAGATTGAGCATTGTAAGCAGTAAATTTGAATACAGTAGAATATGAACGTACCAAGATCCCTGCGCGTGTTACATTTCCACAAAAGCCACGAGTGTTACGAACTGCTTCCATTGTTGCACCAGACCATCTCAGAGGCCTCCCCATCTCTCGCTCAATCATACGCCCCACCACCTGCTCGGTCAAACTATCAAACACTCCTGTCACATTGTGGTGCTGTCGGAGGTACTTGACGATGTCGCGCTGTCGCATGTTGGGCATGTTGACCTTTGCTGCAGCGTCAATATGAACCCAAAGAAGTGGTGCATGCCAATTTGTATACTTTGCCATCTTCAGGGCCTTAGGGTCATGTGAAGCAGGGTTCTCATTGGCCACGGTCTCGTCTTGGCGGGCTTTTGCCTTCGCATGGACCTTGAGAGCCCTTCGTGGGCGAGATGCTTCGGCGACTGTCTGGCCAGAGGGGAGAAGGTTATTGGGCTTCTGCTTATTCGGAATGGGCTCAATAGCTTTTCATTTCTATCAGAACCAGGTTAGTGGCCGTGTTTAGAAGAGAATCTGACAGCTCATGTTGGATGCACCTGTCCAGTAACAGCATCCCGAGTCCCGTCAGCGATCTGCTCTTCACGAATGCGATTACGTCTCTTCTGCTGCCGCTGACGAGCTTGCTCCTTCTGCTTCTCTCGCCGAACCCCACCTAGCCTCTCGTCCAGCCGCTGAAGCTCCTTAGCTCTCTCTCGGTCCCCCCCCGCTGCCCCTGCAAGCTGACGCTTGCGATCACCGGGTCTGTTCACAGGGAAGAAGCGAAGCAGCCCGCCTGGCTTCTCTAGCTCGCCTGGAAGGATCTTTGCACTTGTGCTCGCCTTGTGACCTTTCTCCTTCTTCTCGGTCTCTGCCTTGTTGCTTGACGCTGCTGCCTGCACGACCGCGTCCGCAATAGCTTCCAGAAAGGGATTCTCTTGGAATGATGAACTTTGGGTGCCAGCCGGAGAATGCGCGCATGGAGGTGTAAGGAGTGCAGGATCAATGGGGATGCTACCAGAGCGGCCGGTTGAGGAAGCATTACTTGCAGACTGGTTGTAGCTGGAGGAATCCGGTATGTCACAGTCCCAGTCCTACAATACTATTATATGAGCATGATATTCCCAGGTGTAGGGCAGGTACAAGGGCGTACCTGAGATGTCAAATGGTCCTTCACAAGTGACATGAAGGCCTGGAGTCGCAGGAGATCCCGAGTCTGTTCAGTCCACAACATATCACCAAGAACTCGGTGTGCAATTGCATTGACTACAAGCATACCGCAAGACACGCCATCAGAGTTTGGCTGAGCAGCGATTGGTATGCTACCCTTCTCCATTACTCGGAGACCGTGCTGACTGAGCCAGCGAGCAACCAGGCCGATGTCCTTCGGGTCGGCAAGTAACCCTGTCGAATCGCCATAGCATAGGCACTCCTCTTTCATCTCAAATGCGAAGAGTGTCCAGTGGTTGTCTCGAATGTTGAGTGGCAGGTAAATCACGTCCACGAGGCCCTTAGCAACACGAGCCCCGACATCTCGCAAAGCGCGGAAGGCACGATTCGTCTTGTAGCTGGTCCACTCAATATCCGAAGCCCTTCTGAGTGTTTCGAACACAGTCAGATCCCGGATCTCGACGCGCGAAGTGTCCCGCCGATGGTCAGCGTAGCTGCTGCAGCGTCGAATAATCGTCAACATCGCATCAATTACATTTGACTTGAGCATGCCGTGTTCAAGCAAGGGTTGCAGCTCTTCCACTGACACACCAGGTGCCTCGAATGATCCGGAAAGCTGAGTGTCCCATTCCAGCTCTTCGAGCATGGTAAGTGCTTCTTCAGCGGCTATAGCGGCCGCATGGCATTGACCTTTGCATAGGGACACAAGCCATCCCTCGGAGCGACTCCACTTCCATTGGGACATGGCGGCATAGCCCTGTTGAAGCCAGAATGAAATCATGAAGAGCGGGGTGGGTTTGTTTTTATAGCGCCAGTCCAAGAAGCTACGCTTGCCAGCGGGCACAGCGGTGGCAAGCTCGCTTCTTAGCACGTGAAGATGCTGGAGAGGAGGTATTGTGCGTGTGCAAAGCTCTGGTATGTTGCTCTCTGGGACTGCAGCTGAAAATTTGAATCCACCAAAGGGAGAGGAAGATGGACGGTAGACACTCGGAAGGTTTTCGAGCTGCAGGAGCTCTCGGACAGATGCAGTAGAGTCAAGCAGCTTTATATAGAGAATTTCCGGGATTGCACATGCTGTAGCAATTATATCGTCCAAGTTGTCTACGTCCATTGCGGCGTATGTTGCTATCGAGTAAGTGTTCGCTCAGCGCTGGGATTGTGGACAAGATCACCAAAACATATGGAATTCAAACCATGTGCCACATACAGCAGCCGGTTGTCCTGCACAGTACATGCAATAACTGCTTATCCCGAGACCCATGCGCCATCACGTTGTGTCTCAGCGTGCTACTGACGGCGGGCATTGCCTGATTTAGCTCCCTGCCCGCTCCAGTCACGGTTCAGTCATTGAACCATGGTCACGCGTCACGGGGGGTCCGTGAACTGTGAACTGACCAGGTTTCAAACGTCACGGGTCACAGGGTGTGAACTGTTGGTCATGGCGGTACAGTATTCTCTACACCCAAGAATCGTGAGTCCGCCCGTCAGAAATTCTGCGCCTAAGACTTGTGCAAATGAGTTTTTGTGCTCGCAGCACTGAACTGTGGGGAACTAGGCATGTCACTTCAGAGGCTCTTCACCACGACGCGAGCACATGTGTACGCGAGCTTGACAGCCGTGTCGATTTCAACCTGCGTTCATGCCCGCCAGTACCCTGAGTGTATCGAACACGTCTCCATGTCGAAACCGCGCAAATCCACCCTTGCCTCCTTCATCGCCCCCCGAGTATGATCGGCCCACCAATCATATTTCGGTTCTGCCTCTACGCAACACCTTTGGCACATCATCCACCTTGTTAAGCTTGCCGAATGCATCATGCCCATGTCAACCGCTCCGCCCGCATATACCGGCCGGTCTTGCTGAACTGCCCGGGGCTGATCAGGCTGCGGCTGACGACCAACTAGAGATGAACCCTCTAGGGTCTATTCATGACCCTCAGCTACCTAGCAATCCGCTCGACCAGGTATTTGACAACTAAGCTGGGCTGACTGGGGCAGCCAAGTCCACATTCTTCTGAGTGATCACTACCCGCGCAAGCACAGATGCTCCTTGCACCCTCGACGCCATCAGATAGCTCTAGTACCAAAGCAGAACCTGATTTGGAGATGCAGTGGTCTCCTTGGCAAGAGTACCAGTGAGCTTGATGATGGACCGTTCTCCATCCCGCAGCCTGCTGCTCCAGCATCCGCCATGGCTCAATATCCTGCAGCCTAGGTTATACATATGTTCTATTGTAGTCTCCTGTCATTCAATGTGCACTTTTATGTATCGAACACGAACGAACGTGAGCTCTGAGGCTCTGTGGGCGCCATTCTGTTGCGGGGAGATCTCGGATCGGGGCGGATTTCGCATTGCACAAAATCATGATTTCGGTCGTACGAATCTCAGACAAAAACCAAGCCTCAAAGATCACGATAGTCCGGATCCCAAAATTTGCCAGATCTTGAGCTCCACAGTCTCATCCGTGCAGCTGTGTAGTCAGACGATGGCTCGTGAAGCATGTAACAGGCGAGTCGCAAAAATAGATGCGCTGACACACCTGGGTGTCTCCAGCACGAGCCAACATGGGGTTCAGTTCGTTGTACAAAAGGCGTGACTTAGGAAGAGATCATTCGCACACCAAACGAAATCTTTCCCTAAACCGCCATTGTCGCCAGCTGCAGCCTAAATTTCATGACAAGCAGCCCCTTATCACATGTCGGCGAGCTGACGGCAGCACAAGTCGTCGCTGGCATTGTTCTCGTGTGGCTGCTCATCCGCTACCTGAGTGCGAAGAACGTACGTTCTCGGCTGCACTCCATGCCCCAGCCACGATATTAACAACTGCAGCTCCGTCATATCCCGACTGAGGGTGGACCCTCTTTGCCAATCCTATCTTTCGTCGGGCTTTACAACTTCCTTATCCATGGAAGAGAGCTCTTGCAGCGGGGTTATCAGAAGGTGCGTTCGCTGAATCCTTTTATAGCGGGTATGCTCACTGCGTCATACTATAGCACAAGGGCAGAACTTTCAAGGTCGCTATGGTGGATCGCTGGCTCGTTGTGCTCTCCGGCAAGAAGTTGATCGACGAGCTGCAGAAGATGCCGGACGACATGGTGTCATCCGCTACGACAGAGGTATGCGTCCTTCAGCTGGTTTGGCACGGAAATGACATAGTCGTGTTCCTTCACTCAACGCCAGGTTTTCGGGATACATCATGTATTCGACTCTAACTGGCACATAGACCCCGTTCATGTGCCAATACTGCGAAGTCTCACACGCAATCTCACATTGGTGTTCGAGGACATGTTTGACGAGCTCATCATAGCCTTCCGGGAGCACTTTCCCGCGAACAGCGACCGTGAGGGAGACAGCCTGACATATGGGAGTAGCAAGTTCGGCTGATATCTCTACTAGGTTGGTTTCCAGTCCATGCTTCTCCTGTCATGAGAACAATCGTTACACGTGCCGCGAACCGCGTATTTGTCGGCATGCCTACTTGTAGGTACCAATGTGGATTTTGCAGGGAATTGCTCACTGGTAGACATTGCGCTCAGGTCGAGACAGTGGCTATGTGCACATGGTGGTACACTTCGAAGAGGACGTAAGCAAAGCTGTGGGGCTTCTCACAATATTTCCCAGCTTTATGAAACACGCTGCTGGAAGGAAGGCCACGGTCATCGACAAACGCGTTCAGCAGTGCCTTGACTACCTGCGGCCGGCTATCAACGACCGGATGGCTATGAGGACTAGGTTTGGGGAGGACTGGGCAGATAAGCCGGTGCGTTACTTTGGCGGTGTAGTTCTAGCCTATTTCTAACCCAAGCATAGAATGATTTTTTGCAGCGGGTTATCGACGAAGTTGTAGCTCGGAATCAGGGGCCAGAAGAGGTCGCGCGCATAGTACTGTTCATCAACATCGGGGCTATTGGGTCGATCTCGGCTGTAAGTCTTCAGCATTTTAGGGCCGGAAGTAGTAACCGGGTGTATTTTAGGCCGTAATCCAAGCCTTGTACGACATCTCTGCGCGTCCCGAGCTCGCCAACACGCTCCGAGAAGAGGTTGAGGCAGCTGTGGCCGAAGAAGGCTGGACGAGAGTCGCCACAAACAAGATGCGCAAGCTCGACAGCTTCCTGCGCGAGTGCGTGCGGCACAATGGCCCTACCATCGGTGCGCGTTCTTCTCCCAATCGCTTCTCTCACGGTTGACAGCTCGCAGGGTCGATGTTCCGCAACATCCTGCAGCCGGTGACGCTCTCGGATGGGACGTTCCTTCCCAAGGGCACGACGGTCGTCACGCCGACATTTGCGACACATTACGACGAGGAGAACTATCCGAACGCGACCCTGTTCGATCCGTTACGGTCTTACAAGAGTGACAAGGCCGTGCAGCCACGGCTGATTACCACGTCCGCAGACTACGTAACGTTCGGTCATGGCAAGCATTCGTGGTATGTTGCTCTACCCTGTCGCACTCTCATGCAGTAAGATTGATTGCTGCATGCACTAGCCCTGGTCGATTCTTCGCCTCCAACCAGCTCAAAACTATGTTAGCACATATTTTGATAAACTATGACGTCAAACCCGAGTACGAGGGCGTCCGCCCTGAGAGCTCGCAGAGGGGCCTGGCCTATGACCCGAGCAATACCGCACGTGTGTTATTCAGGAGGAGGCGGGTCGACTAGAAGATGCAGAGGGGAGCTGTGACGTACAAGGCGTCGCGTGAAGGTGCGGGTCCTGAACAGGTCTCGTGTTCATCTGGAAAAACTCCCAATGTAAATAGCGTTAAATAGCGTTAGTTGTCTGTAATTTATATTATTACTATACTGGATGCCTTTTTTGTTTTTTGAGGAGCGTAGGTGAACAGAGCAACCGACTTTGTCAGGCCCTCAGTCACCGCTATAGGTGGCACAAGGCCAAAGGATAACCGAAAAGTAAATACTCCACAGAGGAAATGAGCTATTCACGCAACTCTGTGAGCCGCGGTGTGGGACTTCCCTTGCGATCATCGGAAGCGCTCTAGCCAGTCCTCCCGCCAGGGCCTACCCACTAAAACCCCTGCACGACCGATCCAGTCCCTCTCGTCTCGCGCCGGTCCAGCCAAGATTTTGGACCAGGTGCCTAGGACAAGATTTTTCGGGGTGGCTTTTCTGCCGTACCGGCGGTGAGTAAGAACCTGGTCGATCTTCAATCGTTTGTTTATCGCCGCAAGCCACTTCCCCTCGACCTCGGCCGGGGGGTGCCAGTCACCTGGCTCGGCATTCCGCTGTATCACGCGTTCGCAGCGCAGCCGCCATATCAGGTGCGCCGACCCAGAAACCAGGATGCGGAAAAGACGGGAGAGACCACGAGAGGGCCGTCCGTTCGCTCCCGTCCAAGACATCGGCGATCACTGCAGCCTAGCACGACACCAATTGACAGGGCCGGCCATTCCTTGCCTGTCTGCTCCCAGGTGCGCCGTGCCATGGTCCACACCAAATGTTGACACGGGCCGCCACACTCCGTCAGGATATGCCCCATGTCATCAGGCACATTGCAGTGCCGGCAGTCTGCTCGATGCTCGAAATTGGGAATGTTCAGCCAGTAAGACCCAACCTTGTATGCGGAGTGGAAAGCCTTCCACAGGAACTCCCTCGCGCCCTTAGTGAGGTCGCGGTGCTGAAGGCTCACCCATAGCAACTTATCAGAGGGGCGGCGACCCGTCACATCAGCGACCGCGCACCTAGCCATGTCGAGGCTAGCCACCGCCCTCGGCCTGGGGGTATACACAGTGCGCTCCCGTATGCCCCGGTAAGCTAGCCGTTGCGTCATAGTCGACAACTGAGCGCCATCCAAAAGAAACCGTCTGTTGTAGGACAGATCGAGGCCATGGGCGAGTGCAAGCCCTGCGCCCGCTCCGGCGAGGAGATCAGCCTGAATATTGCCGACCGACTCTGCATGTCCTTTTACCCACTCAAAGTCGGTGACTGCGCCCCTCTCTCGAAGGGCCGCCAGAGTGGCTCGGACACCAGGGGCAAATCCGGTATCAAGTTTTTTGCGTAAGGGCGGGATGACGCTGTGCCAACTCTCTTGTCAGCCTCCTGCAATTTCCTAATTAGGAAGCTACCCAGCTGATTAAGCGACTTAACAGATCAGTTGACGCAGCGTCGCCTCGCCCCGGAGCAAAAAAGTTGACACCCGCTTTGCCCCTGGTGGGAAAAGCTCGCGGTTCATCAGGAAACACTGTTTGGCGCCATAGTAGCAAGCTTATTACGAGGCGCCCGAAGCGCGTAGCAAGAGGAAGGTAACTCCCGGAGTGCATAGCAGGAGGGCGACAGCTTCCGGAGCTCTACCGTAGCACTGTTAGTACTGGTAGCATTAATGTAGCACAGCTATTGCCAATTGGTATATAAATTAAAGAGTACACTTATTTCTTGTTGAGCCGAGGTACATAGCGCAGCAGAATAAAATCTGACAGTTGTGTGTAAGGATTGACATGGAAGCAGTGTTGTGCGGTCACTGACCGAATATGACTAGTCATGAAGTCACGGTCAGTGACCAGACTAAAGTCAGTGACCGAGCAGTTTTCTGGGTCCTGCGGTTGAGGGTAGTGCCTGTGAGAAGCACAGACAGATGTACCGCCATTGAAAGACAGTGCGAACGCAACGCAGCCTGAGCTAAGAGGGTTCGTAGTCCTGTATTAAATTCTATTCTTGATACCTACCTGCTTGTCCCCTCTGTTGCAGGCTTTATCAGTAGAGAGTTCAAATCTAATTATTTCTTTTGTTATATCATGGCTTATGATATGTGGCATACCATGTGCTCTGACCAATGGCAGGCCTACTTCATAGAGCATTTATTCAGGGTGAATAAAAATGAATTTTACCAAAGCAAAGCCAGATGCACAAACTAGCGAATTGGAGACATGGTGCTGTGTATGTTACAACTTGAACTGAGAATTTCATGCCCAAATGCAGCAAGAACCATATGGAGATCGACAATAGGCAGCAGCATGAGCATCGCACCCAGACAATGCATGGTTGGAGAGCTAGGTAGCAGAAGCAAGCGTGTACCACATGGTTTATCGTGCTTCCGGGTTAATACAATGCTTATGATGGCATTGTGGACCAGAACAGCTGCCAGAACACCCTTGAACTGCTTCAGATCACTCTGCATTGACATCTTTAGCTCAGTTACCTGCTGTATCTGCATCCGGTGTTGCACCCATTAGTTCGGACAGTGCCTCTGGTGCAATTCTGCCACAGACTAACTAAGGAATGGGATCTTTGGCCCACTCTGGGGCACATCCACAGTGCCAGTGGCCAAGAAGAAGTAGAATATATGTAAAATTCTAATACTACAGCCTACAGACTCGCTCTACTTGCTACGGACGACTCTGCGAGAGGGCATCACCGGTGTGATAGAGTTCTGAATGCTGATTGGCCAGAATCCCTTCCCATGATAAGGACCTGGTGACCGCTTGGTCTCAGTCACAGTGAGACTGACTTGTGACTAGTCATTGACTCAGTCACTGACTGGCATAACGCTGCATGGAAGTGCATGCAGGTTGTGGGATCCAGCACATTCTCTCAGGTCCATGTCCGGTTGATAGCCTGCCTCCAGTGTGGAATCAGATGGCATGACCTCACAAGAGCAGTGATAGAAATCACAGATGCGCTGCGCTCATGGTTAGATGTTGATACACCAACTGAATACATACCTGAGACTTCGTCGCGCGTATTCAGTGGAGTGTACCACTGAACAAACACAAGAGGCTCGGGTGCAAAGTCACAGAACATGTCGGGAGCGCGAAAGATAACGTGCACCTGCCCGGCTGAAAGGCCTGATATTCGAGATAGTATGAAAAAATTATATGCAAACTGAAAAGACAATGCACCATGCAAAAGCGAGGACTAACAAATCAGCTGTCTGAGGTGGTCGTTGGTGGGCTAAGACTGTCGAGAATGATGCAGGCACGGTGCTAATCTCCGTGCCACTGAGACTCTGAGAAGTCCTAGAGACTGCATGGATAGTGTCCCACTCTAAGCTGTCAGTTGTTGAGACCTGCGCTATGGCCAGTAATTAGAGCTTCAGCTGCTTATACATGGGAACTTCAGTTTCCATGCTGATTTTCTTGATCTCTGTTAGCGCAAACTGAGGAACAGGTTGGGTTGCAGAGTGAGCACGTTCTATGAGGAAAGCTTCAAGATGCCACGAGAAGTCGTGAGTGCCATGAGATTTCACAATGGTGTCAGCAGAGAGCAGCAGATACAGAGGTTTCTTCGCAACCTTGAACTGGATGCTAGTCGCCTCAGCTCGTGCAACACCTTTCTCTTTGTCCTCTGCCTCCTTCAGCTCCTTTCGCTGTTTGATGTCTTCATCTTTGTTGCTGCTGTCCTTGTGATTCTTGGCAGCTGCTTCGGGTTGGATGAGCCCTGGAGGTTGCAGCCAATGCAGGTAGGCGTCGAAGTGAACAGCAGCTTCCTGACAGTCAAGCCAAGTCGTCATCTGGCCAAAGTAGTTCTTACGGTTGCTTGCGCGGTAACCTAACTTAGCGAAGTCGATATGCAGATGCTCTGGGCCCTCCAAATTGTATCTGTCTGCAGAGCCAAGTAGACGGATTGACTGGACATAGTGCTCCATTGCATGAAGCTTCGGGATACCGCTAAAATTTGTGTAGTTTGCCAGCATTGCCTGCTTGGCATTGTAGTAAGTGATGAATGCATACTTGCATGTGTGAAACTGTTGCCATGCTGCTTCGAGAGCCTCTAGAGATGTAGTTGTGTGAGTCTCAAACCAAGCATAATGAATGAAGTCTAAGAGTCCATAAATGGCGTGCATTACGTCGTCAGGTATAGAGCCAGCAAGCGCACCGAGGAAGACCTTTTCCATGTTTTTGTACTCGGTTCCTGTCCACTGCGACATGAGTGAGATGTCCTTCTTGAAGTGCTGAATCTCCGAGTGCACCGGCATGGCCGCAAACTGATGATCGAGCTTGTCATTGCCTCCTGCTACACAGTTCATTGTTCATTTCACAATGTGGTCCTTGAACATACACTTGTGCAGCTGATGCAAGATATCCGGTGTGATGCAGAAGAAGATGTCACAGTGCAGGAGGTCTGACCAGAAAGGCAAAATAGGCCGCAATCTGGCATTGTCAAAGCCTGCAGGTTTTTGACCAGAAACTGCCTCTTTAAGCATCTGCGCCATCTTCTCTGGATCTCTCCACTGTGACTGCACGCTGCCTCTCCCACGCTCTCCAGGGTTGATGTGACATTTTGGACAGAAGTTCTTCACGCAAATTACAAGGCACTGCTTGGGATGGTTTGCAATGTATGCGGCGAGAATGGAATGGACGCACCAAACGAGGCTGTCTGTGCAAATCATCTTGACTCCGTCCAGACCAGCCTCAATGAGCAGCTGCAAAAGGGAATGCATGGCATCGTGGAAGAGCTGATATCTGGATATAGAACAGTTGTTCTTTGAGAAGCATTCGAGCTTTGACACAGGAAGGTAGCCAATAAGAATTGTTGCGTGGGACAAAGGTGAGCGTCAAAGCTTCTTTGATATATTGCCAATACTAAGGTACACAGGCCAGGCATTCTTATCGCCACTGAACGCAGACAGCTGGATCTTGTCAGATGCAAGTATAACCAGTGCTACGACTCTACCTGCAGAGATGTGCTCCTGTAGTACTTGGTAAGCTAAGAGAGCACATGTCACCTGGAATAACATACTCACCTAAATCCTTACCCACTGCTTCGCAGTCCACATCTCATCAACAATAGGCTTCAAGCCTTCATGATCTTTGAATGTGTGCTCCGGTGCGTATTGTATGTGCTCTTTGAATGCAGGGTTCCCAATTAGCTCCTTGATACACTCCACAGGATCCCACTTCCATAACTCAAAGGTTTGCACCTTTCTCTTGCCCGTTCTCTCATCGACAACATCTCCGTCTGCTGCAAACATCTCACACTTCCACCGTGGTCCCCGGGAAAGCTTGTCAACTAGCTTGAAAAACCCTCCCTTGTTCTTGAAAGATAAATGTTGATGATGACGATTCTAGGCTAAAGTGAGCATATGTTGCACTGGAACATTACTAGACTCATAGTCTCAAGCTTCAGGAACCTATCAATTTTCTTCTGGCTCAAGCTGGATGCCAGAAGCCATTTCGCCAGCTCCCATTCCTTTGCATCTTTGAATGGGTACCAGAGATTTTTCTTCTGCTTGATTGCTTTCTGTTCTGCTTTGTGACGAGTGTAGATCTCCATAAACATAGTTGTCCCCTTTCCCTTGGTTTTGATGGCGCGCCCAAGTCCGTAGTCCACAAATGGATGCTTTGACAGCCCACTAACTTCGACCTCATCATCAGCCATGCCAGAAACAATGCATGCACGCTTCGATGGAGGTGCTGAAGCTTCGCCTGGATCTGACTGCGAAAGAATAGGCAGGCTGGGAGTAGCAGAGTGACTTGGTCCCTGATTAAATGATGGTGCGGATGCGAATGACTCTTGACCATCGTTGCTACTGAAAGCATCATCAAGCATAGGAAAGCTAAGATATGAGCCATGCGCAAGACGCTCTGGATCAGATCTAAAAGCTTGAGAAAGTAACAGGGCAGCAGTGTGTCGGTCAAATGCCTGTCGACAAGGTTCGCTTTGTCTGCTATGTGACTTCAATCCTTTGGCTGTTTCCATCATAGTAGCACAGAAATCACATCAGAACATGCATGTATTGTGGTGAGAAGGCTGTGTAGAAGGGAGACATCTTTTTGGCATGGTGTAGAGTGCAATGCTGAGCTTAGTTTGGCTCTTCAGCAGTTGCCTATATTTGGTGAGCTGCAACAGTCCGCTTTTGTCTGTTTCTCTTTCCAACTTGAACATCATGTTCAGCTTCTCACCAGTCTCCACATGCCCACATTAGCTCGAAAGATTAACAAGAAAAAAAGGGATCAAGATGACGATGCAATAGAAGGCTCAGAGAACTTGGAGTCTGCTCTGAAGAAAAAGAGTACGCACAACAAAAGTACTGATAGAGATGGTATCTCACAGGGCAACATTATTGGCTTGAAGCGTCAAGCAAAAAAAGCACACGACAGCAAGCTCTCAATATGTCAACCCAGAATAATCTACTTATGAGACACATCTAACACTCCAAGTTTAAACAACAAAGACAATGAGAAGCTCAAGCAAAAGCTCGCAGAGGCTCAAAAATGGCTTGCAGCAATCCAAGCCCTTCTCCAAGCAAAGTTGGCCAGTGCCAACACTACCACCAATAATATGGCAGACATCAACAATATCGCTGTTGAAGGTGATGATGAAATTGAGTCTGAAAACGAAGACAACAACGCTCAGTTGACTCTGGCATGTTTTCTTTGGCATTTTAGGATGTAGCTGACCAATTTTATCAGTTTCACAGTCTTGGAGAGGTACCCACAAGACAAGACGCTGTGAACAAGCCAAAGCGAAGACTCTACCGCGAAGGTAACGCCTCAAAATTACTGTCTTCCCACGAAACAACACCAGACAACCATGATGGCACAAGCAACAGCACGAGTGAAAGTGAGAGCCTACGCAGATCCCCTGATGCAAATACTGCACTGTCTGTTGCTTCCCACTTGCAAGAATGTGTGTTGTCTCTGCATTTGCATTCTATGGCTTTAGCTCACAGCACTTTTCTAGCTCGCAATGTCTCTCCAGCTTGCAGTGCCTCTTTGGTCCCTTTGCTCTTGGACAATCATGGCAGCTTCGTGCAGCATTCAAGAACATGTACCATTTCCCTTAATCGACCTAGCCATTGTGCAAGGTCTGAATGCTCACCATTTCATGGCGATGATAGGAGCAAAATGGTACCCCTGTCTGGTCATTGACAGCAGGTCAGTAGTTCACTGTTCAATGCCGCAGAGTGAGCTAAGTATTCTTCTATGCACAGCTTCCTCGAGATCGTGACCATGGAGTTTGTGGTTCTCGGCCACCATCATCAGCTCGCTGTCGACCATCGGGTAGCCATGCAACCTCTGCAGATTGATCCCGCAAGCGTAAACAAACAGATGCATGTTCGCCCGAGCCAGTAGTGTACAACTCCATCAAGTACACGCATAGACAGATACCGACAGGGAAGCCAAAGTACCCTGACTACAACAAAGCAATATTGGCCCTCATTCATTAGGCTGCCGATGCATATAAAATGAAGCTGTTGACAATCAATGCCTTTCCATCAGCAGAAGTAGCCACACAATTTGCTGGCGAAGCATGGGATGTGGTGTGCCAAGCGAACAATAAGAACTTCACCCCTGAGGACTTGGCACAGGTGCTTGCTCTTGTATGTCATTTATTTTATTGTCTTTCTACTTACTCTTGATACCGACGAACATCTAGATTGTTCAACAGGGCCCTGCCTTTTGTGGTCATATCCACGACCATGTTTGTGAGAGCTCCGTGAGTGCCTTTGGGCTTGCGGACCTGACAAATGTGGCAGCTCAGGCAGCCAATGTGAAATCATGTGAGTTTCTCCGCAGTTCTAGTGTTAGGGCTCACCACCCTGGTATTGCTATAAGGTATGCGCATACTTGAGTCTTGAGTGTCGGAGGTCACGGCTAACTTCTATTGCTGTCCATAGGATTCAGAAGCAGAAACTGGCTACGGTGAGCATACTTTGCTCACAGTTGCTCTCTGTATGGAGCTCTTCAAAATTGCGAAGCACCTGGGTTCACAGCATCAAGACCACCTAAATCCACTTCCTATTCCAACTATTGCCCTTTTGTTTACCATTGTAAGTGCTGGTCTGATGATCATTTCTAATTGGAACTAACTGGACCGGCGGTTTATGAGATCGCTTTTTTGCTAGATGCATAGGCAACAGGCAAGTTCAACGGCAACCTCTATTTCACAGAATAAAAGTATGCCTCTGTTGCATCAGAGACCCACAGAGTGTACTGGAGACATTTCGAGTTTATTGAGAAGTGGGCAAACTTGAATGTAGCCACATCAACAAAGGTTTGCGCGAAGATGTTCTAATGCATTCTGTGAGTATTTCTACATCTGTACTATTTATGTTACTAAATACGGCATTATATGACAGCACTGGGACTAGTCTCAAACCTCAATCCAAGCAGCTACCTGTGAAGCTCTCTGCTGCTGCAGAAGATTGGATGTGACAGCAGCTAGAAGGTCATACCTGGGACACGGACAGCGAGCAGAAATCCAGTAAAGGTGTAGATCATCATACAAAAGCCTGACCGGATGCCAGGGTAGTAGTCAATCGCCTCGGGCACATGTATCTTGTTTTTGCATAGCTAATTTAGTTTGCACTTGCACTCCGCGCACCATATGAGCAACAAATTGCAATCCACTGGCACATCTGCTATACTACACTTGTACTACGAAACCGCTCCTGAGTGAATCATCTGCTATGAAGTTGCTCCCAGAGAAGTCGCCTGCTACCAGGCAACTACTTAGAATGATTTGCAGGACTCCGTGCTACAAAGAGAGAGACCATTCTCCAATCACTTCGACCACTACTAAGGCTCAGTGATGCTTTGTAGCTAAGTCATTTTTCCCTGATGTTCTCAACTCCAATCCAGCTGTCCTGTTCCCATTTACTTGCGTGAACAGTGAGCCCTTGTATTTCACATTGCAAGTCACTCTTGATGCTGAGTCATCCAAAAAGGTCAATTTCATTCTTCACGACTTGTAATATAGCCACCACCTCTCCAGTCCGATTAGACTGCACCGGGCCTGGGGCACGAAACCCAACATTCTTTGGATGATCAGGGCCATACCATACTCTGGCACCTGCCACTGCATTCTCATTGTCATTGTTCAGGCAGAAGCTGTCCGTGTACACAGTCAAGTCCTTGTTTGGAAGCTGCAGTCTATTCATGCACTGCTGTCCTGGCAGGACAGGTGCAGGGCCATCGGTTCCAAAGATGCAGAAAGATGCGGAAAGCACTGGTCAGGCCATTCTCGTCATTGGGTGTAATCGTGGAGTCAAAAACAATTGTCCAACCCTCATCCTTATCACCATCGCTCCAGTTCCTTGGGTGGAGGGCACACCAGTTTCTCCTCAGGCAGTGCCTAGTTAGAGTGAGGCCATCCTGTTCAGACACCTCTATCAGAGCCCATTTTGACCTGAGAGAGTGGAGCAGCCCGGTCGCCAGCTCATAACATTTATGTGGCGTGTCACAGCCATGAAGATTGTGGTCATGCTTACAGTTCCTGCACCTAGCACATGGCCAGCTGTCAGGGTTTTGCTCCTGAAAGTGAATGATCTCACATAAGTCCCCCACTGTATGCACACCGTGCTTGGTCCAGAGGCAATGGCCCCATGGAAAGTTGTCCAACTGGGCCAGAGGCTCATTTGCGCTAATGTGGTACCAGACTGGCAGTAGTTTTTTCATCTTCTCTGTCAGTTTAATAGCCCCAAAATTCAGGTTATATTTACTGCCAAGTTTCAGCATACACTGGGTGTGTCTCAGGAGCTGTGTCAATGCCAGAGCCTACATTTGCAGCAATGGGTTCATCTGTGCAAGATTATTTACAGTTGCAGACAACTTTTGCACAGCTCTAGTGATGAAAGCATTCTCAACATAGCACCACAAGGGCCATTTACTCATGAAGTTTGTGAAGGGAACCAGCCAGATGAGTTTGATGGCCTCCACCTGGCTGCAGAGATCAAGAAGATTCAAGCCCCCCTCTGCCACAGGGCAACACAGGGTCTCCATGTTTATGGTTGGATGCTGGTCCTTCTACACGAACTTGCATATGCGGGACATAAGAAAGGCTTCCACATCTTTTGGCATTCCTTGAACTTTTGCGAGGTACTGCACTTTGCTTCCCACTGCCCATTCAACAATGATCTTTCAGCCTAGCATAGTGGGATGACAGTGTTCCCACTGGTCCAGGCTGCACTCTATGTCTTTGAGAATAGATGTCTAGGGATCACTCCAGATGTCTATGCTGTAGCCAATCCAGGTTCTAAGAATTCTAACAGGCTTTCCTGTCATTTTGTCAGTAATAGCATTGTGTGGCTCTATTGAGTTGAAGAGAGGGTTCAGATGCCTAGTCTTTGTCACTGTAGTGTGGTATGCTTTAGTTTCTATGCAGATCACCACTGTCTCGTGATCATTAAATTTTGCTCCTAAGGCACCACATCAATGATGCAGGACAGTTCAGAGGGCCCTATAGTCATTCCATTCTAAGAGATATACTATGGTATTGTTTGCAAACAGTGTGGTGATGAGTTTGTCAGGGTGATTCAGGATGGAGAATTCTTTCAGGTTAGAGTCATGTATTATACATGCTAACAGCTCTATAGCAAAGACAAAAAGCAGACAGGAGAGCAGGTCGCCCTGTCGCACTTCTCTGGTGACCCAGAAAGGTCATCTGGTCTCGCCATTAAAAATGACCACTGACTGGGCATTATCATATAGGTTGCATATCAAGGTGACAAAGGTCTCTGGCAGGTTGAAGCGGTGCAGTGTCACTCACAGACACTCATGGTCAATGTGATCATGGGCTTTCTCTTGATCTAGTGCCACAATAGCCTCATTCTCTTCAAAAACCTCAGCATAGGCCAGCATATCACATGCCAGCCAGGTCTGTTCATGAATGTGCTTTCCAGAGATGAAGCCAGCCTGGTTCAGATGAATGACCCATGCCACAATGGAACTTAACTGGATTGCCATTATTCATGTAAGCAGCTTATAATTCATGTTCGGTGTTGTGGAGTAAGAACTCAACACTTCACAAGGAAGCAGAGATCGTGGAAGACGGCAACGAGATGGTGTGAAGGATGGTCTCACAACTTCAGTCTAGCTTATGCAACTAGCCCAATTGACCAAGTGTATTATGTGTTAGTAATGTAAAGAAGACAAGTAACTAATAGGCTTATCTAGCCTGATTGACCAAGAGGTCGAGATGGGGGCTAGATAGCAACAGAGTCCTACTATATATACTGTTGGGGCCGCGCACAGACCAGGCATTATGTAAGCTACAAGTTGCTGGGGTAGTGAGGCGACAGTGCAGAAGTGGGGGCTGGTGAGTCATAGTATTTAACGTATCTGGGCTGATGGAGGTTGGAGGTCTGATGCTGATTGGACTCTGATAGAAGAGAGTCAGCATCAGTGACACGTTGTCAAGCTGATGTAAGCCAGATGTCCAGTGTCAATCAGTCTCTGATGGAGACTGCTGAGAGGCTGTGTAACAGCTTCTCTGATGGCGGCATTATGTGTTAGCACGCTGAGCTTGCTGATGCACTGATGTGCCGCGAGGGCGTGAGAGTAAACTGGTGCTAACATGAGGGTTTGAGCATTGATAACAACAGGAACATTGTGGAAACTCAGGGAAAATTGTAGAAAATACAGAAAAACTACAGAGCAGAGCTACTCCCACAACATTCAGCAAGGTGATCGGATGGTAGTTCCCAATGCAGTGCTTATCATTTTTCTTGTACAGGTGACAGATCTATCCTTCTGCAAACATTGTGCCAGGGGCAACGCCATAATCTTGAGCATCATTATACACAGCCATCAGAGCCTGGAGAACATCAAAAGTAAGTTGTTCAGGGTCCTTACTCTCTTTTTTGTACTGTCTATGCAAGGCCTCCACAGCTCAAAGAGTATGCCATCAAGGCCAAAGGTATTAAGAGCTGTCAGCATGTTAGCTCACGTTATTTTCATTACTAGAGTACATCCCTCATTTGTCTTCACGCGGTTCCACACATGACTCAGTGCATGATCAGTTGCCTCTTGTGCTCTGTTACGATTGCGATCACTGCCATCAGCCTGTAGCTGCATGTGGAACTCCCTTGCAGCCTCTGTCATGTTTGCAGAGTGGGTGAGCAGTACAGAGTTTGCAGAGGTTGTGTTCAGCTGGAACGATGAGTACACAACATCACACGGTTTGCTCTCTCTGCTAAGGGCAAACCAGTATTTTATGACTGATTCCCCTTCCAGCTGGTTCCGCACTGTGACCAGGGTCCATGTCTGCTGATGTTTGAGATTTTTTAAAAATCACAGCTTATTCTCAAATGAACTCGGCCTGGTATGACTGTTCTATGTCATCATCAAAGGCATTGCGGTCATTTAGAATTGTGGCCATATCAGTTTGGAGGCTTTTGATGGTGTGCTCTATCTTGGGTGCGTTCTATTTAGCCTTCCACTTGGCAATGCTCACAACACTGTCCTTGAATGTTTTGAAGATGGTTTGGAGGTTCCTAGCAGCTGTATGGTCTATACGGTTGAGGGCATCACCCAGAAGGTGACGTCCACACTTCTGGACTTCACTCAGAAAGTCATCATTCTCTAGAAAGAACTGTGGTATAGTCCAGTGCCTCTTCCCAATGTAAGGGGTTGTTAGGTCCATGATTTTCATGCTAACCATTTGTGGTCAGTCTGCAGAGGAGTTGTTGACACAAGCCAGTTGTGGGCAGTGCACATGATATTATGAGATACATAGATGCAGTCAATACATGAGTGGCTATAGCCAGCCTGGCCCTATTGAAAGTAAGAATGTTCACAGCTAGTGGGGTAAGTGTCATGCCACCCATCTACAAGCTTCATGTTAAAGCAGAGTGTTTATAAAGCATTTGTCACGCCTAGAGGGTCCAGGTGAACTGGGAGGCGGTCAATATCCTTCTTCACAACATTAAAGTCACCAAGGACTACATCTGGGATTGGCAGAGAGTTATCTGCCCACTTCTTGTTCAGTGCCCACCAGAAACATGCATTCTGTGTATGATCATTAGGCACGTACACAGTAAGAATGTTAACAGTTCTATCTACGTGCCAGGGCATGAACAGCAGCAAAGCGCATCCAGGCATAATTCCCCTCAAAGTGATTCCCACTACATTCGTTACACATTTATTTACTACAAAAGCCACTCTCTGGGCACAGGAGTGATTCTCTGGTGGAGCTGACCAGTGCAGTTCCAATTTACTGCCAAAGAGCTGCCGGAAGTTGGCCACTGCCTCATTGTCGAGGTGAGTCTCCTGCACAGCTAATAGGCCTATCCTATTGTCTCTCATGAGTTGGTTCATATGGAGCCACTTACTACCTGCCATAGCTGCAGCGCTCCTGCTCCTTATGTTCAGAGAGGTGACAGTGAGACTAGCTCGAGTGTTCTTCTTGATCTTTGCCTTGCAGCATGCATGATTCTGCGCTCTCCTCACTCCTACGCCAGAGGAGGGCCCTGCTGCATCACCATGGTGGATGTTGCACAGGTAGTCTGTGATCTGTGAGTCATAGTCAGCAGCAAGTGGCTGCCACAGTGCCTGGTGGGGCAGGTCCATCCTGTCTCCGATCTTGTCAGGGCTGTCATCAAAGAAGCGAGCAATGGGCAGGTCCCCTGCTTCTTTAACACTGGGGGGAGGTGCACCATTAAAACCAGTAGGTAATCCATTGTCAATTATTTCTCTAATATTGTCAGGTTTGTGTAGTCGAGAAGCACCCACAGGCATCAGCCAGATTTCACGAGTGGAGTGTATACCAGGCTTATGACAATATAGGCAGCTGCCGCCACTGCCCTCCTGCCATCAGACCAGCTTCACTCTCTTGTGTAGTAGCAGAAAACGCTCATTCCACTGTGTCCATTGGGCACCTCCATGGCAAGCAGTCCTGTTCTTCAAAAGGTCAGTAAATTAGGCTTGACATGGCCAAGCATGCTCCAAGTGCAGCCAGTTCAGGAAGCATGCCCATTTGGCCTACTGTCAGGACATCCCAGTCTTGAGATAAGCCAGTGGCCAGCCCTCCTGAGATGTTTCTGACAGCCCTGACACTCTCCACCTTCGTGTGGCAGGCACAGAGGTGTGTCTCACATAGGCTCATTCCTGCCCCAGGGTCACAGACAACAGGTCGAGGCTCTAACTCCACCTGCTCCTCCAAACATAGCATATCCACTCATCCAAGAAATATGCTGCATCACGATCATAGAGCACAGAATGTTGTGAAGCAAGGCTCAACACTTTACGAGGGAGCTGGATTGTGGAAAATGGTGATGAGGTGGTGTGTACAGCGGCCTCACAACTTCAGTATAGCTTACACAGCTAGCCTGATTGACCAAGTATATTATGTGTTAGTAATGTAAATGAAACAAGTAACTAATAGGCTTATCTAGCCTGATTGACCAACAGAGTCCTACTGTATATACTGCTAGGGCTGCGCACAGACCAGGCATTATGTAAGCTACAAGTTGCTGGGGTTGTGGGGCAACAGCAGAGAAACAGGGGCCGGTGAGTCATAGTATCTGACGTATCCAGGCTGACGGAGGTCAAGAGTCCAATGCCAATCAGACTCCACCCTTTGGCACACCAATGAAGCTTCATTGGGCTGTAATTGCTGCAGAACAAGTTATACTAAGATGATGTGGACCACAGCACAGGTGCTTGGTAGGTACGATTTCTTCATTCCTTGCCATATTACAAAACTTCTTCCTATCATTTGCACTGCCTTAGTATGAATCTTTTGCTCATGACAGCAATGGCAGTGTTTATATAATAGTAATATGTTACAATAACAAAAGCTAACTTTATATTTAGTATAATAATATGCAGGACAGAGCTCAAAGTTCACAAGCCTTAGAAGCCTGGTTCAGGACCTCAAGCTAAGTTTGAACCTCATCAGGAAACACTCAAAGGTGCAAATAAAGGCACTTACTTTTGTAGAACCTGGAATATACTGAACCTTAATGAAGTAACACCACTAAATGTCAGTGAGTGCATATTGGTTTAGATGTGGATGATCTTTCCATACAAAGATGTAAGATACATGGTTTATGACTGTAAATATCTATTGTATTAATAACAAGCCTTTTAATCTATCAGCCTATGCCTGTAATGTCGCAAATATCCCAGGAGCCTTGCGAAGCAAGCGCCTCAAGATTGCATCAAGATCAGCACCACGAGGGTCTCACGATGAGATTGTGGAATCTTGATAGGTTCATGAGGTGAGATTGAGCATCAAGATGCACTCGAGATTAAGTGCCCTGTTATCTAGACGCCATCGTGACCCAGCGTGCGCCGTGGGTCAACGTGCATATCGTGTTCTCTCTCTATTCTGCATCCCAGCACTTTCCCCCTTCCACAGAATCATCAATATATTTTGTATTGTGTACCTATACATCGTTATAAGCAATCTCTAACTCCCAAATCAGACTGTGAGACACATTGCTAGTGTATGCAACTTTGGTACACAGAGTAACATCCTTTGTGCGCTCTTGCAGACCTCATTCTCCTACAGAACCTGTACAACAACCAGACGGCAGGCAAGCCTTCCTTGTCACAGGACAATGGCAGAATACAAGATCTGGAACATCAGTGCACGAATCTGCGGGCGTATGGAGACTTCTGTAAGCTGTCGAAATGCAACCCACTGCGCCACCATCAGGAAGCGCGTTTAAAGGCGACTATGATGACTAGGAGCATTGAAGAGCTTCAGGCCCCTGAGTTCTGCCACAACCGTTTGACATACATCATCCAGCAGTGCGCTCTCAAACACAAACGTAAAAGGGAGGCAAACCAGAACTGCAACGGCACACTCTACTGTATGCAGTTCACCTTCAGCATTGACCAGCCTACTGCCCCTGCAACCTCGATGCCGTGCCAGAAGCCCGACCTCAAGCTTTCTGCCCGAGTTCAAGGACAACAAGTGAGGACACCCAACTACCTGTGCATTCAGCATTGAAAACAGTATGAAGGATCAGCAGTTCACTCAGCATGAAGAGCTCACTGTGTTCCTGCCGATGGCCGAGGCGCAACGCTTCTGGATGTACTGGCTCCTCACGCAGCTCGACACCGGAGCCCACAGGTACACACCTGCCCTCCACATCCCACAGCGTTCTCACCAAGAAATACATGCAATTCAATGACAGAATCGCCTGCGCGCACTGCATCGGGCAGACGCAGGTGATGAAGGTGTACTGGTTGATCTGCCAGGGCAGCATCAAAAACCAGATGCTGGAACAGATCTGGCGCAAGCTTTTCCTCTCCCTCAAGGCCATGAACGCACGCACCGCCGCAGGTAATGCGCTCTCTGTGCTCAAGACCGCGAAGCTCACAAGCATCTTCTACAAAGGCAGCAGTGCACTCGCGTGCGGCAATAACGGCGGCGGCAGCGGCATGGGCCCAACGCTTGTGCAGTTCCTCAAAACCCTGCTCGCGGACGTCTTGCAGGCCTCGTGCAAGCATGACGATGTGCGCGCGCTGCAGGTGCGCAGGGAGCTTGACATGTCGGATGCAAAGCAGCTGCCCCTTGGCAACACAGCGCTGGTGCAAACGACGCGCTCTCCGCGCTCAAGACTGCAGAGCTCATGAGCATTCTCTGCAAAGTCAGCAGCGCACTCGCATGCGGCAATGACGACAGCAGCAGCGGAGGCCCGGCGCTCGCACAGTTCTTCAAGGCCCCACTCGCGGATGTCCTGCGGGCCTTGCGCAAGCGTGATGATGTGCAGGTGTGCGGATGCGCAGGGAGTCCGACCTGTCAGATGTGGAGCAGCTGACCCTTGGCAACAACAGCGCTGATGCGGGTGCGGGTGTAGGTGTGAAGACGAGGAGCGGACAATGCTCAGTGGCATTGCGCAGGCGCAGAGCTGGCCATTTGAGGGCAAACTGGTGAGGCACACAAAGCCTTCTGTGTCTGTGGCGGCAGAGAACAAGGACATTGCTGTGTGGCCACAAACAATCATCTGCTGTGGTCGACAGCAGCGTTGGTGATGCCATTACAACTAAAGACTCTGCATCTCTCCAATTGCCTTATCTCTTTTCCTTACGGATGTCATGATCTATGGCGAAGGTCTCAACACTAACACCCACAGCAGCTCAGACAAATTTTCTATTCCCCATCCAACCATCGAACTCTCGCTCGACAAGACTCTCAATGCCGGCAACCCTGACGGCTGCTTTACTTCTCAGAAGGAAGACATGAAGCCTGCAACAAACAATGCACAAGTCACCGCCTCTGCTCCCACATATGATGACCATCCGCACGAGAATGAGTCGATGCTCTTGTCCACGAATGCGCTACGCGCCGTACTGCATGTTGTCGAGAATCTCGTGCCCTGGACAATCATGCCATGTCACCTCGGCCTGAACCCTGTGGCTAGCACGACCCCACTCAATGGTAAGTGGCCATTACTCAGCCTGTGCACTGCGAACAGGTCGCGTTCATCGGGTCCTGGTGTGATGCCTGTCAACTCGACTACGAACACCACCAGCTCTGCCCCTGGTGGTGTCAAGGCAAAGTGCTCGAACTGCGGCATTAACCCACACTCTGCTGTGGTGTCGCGGTCTCAACAACGAGCTCAGCTGCAACACCTGAGAGCTCTACTACAAGCTAGTGAGTGCTAGCTATTGTGTTTTTTCTTTCTGTGTTCTCTGATCCGCATTCCCACTACAGCACAAATGCTCCTGTCCTAAGAGCATGTGCAACAACCACGGCGAGGGCCGTTCACAGACTGCTCCTCGTCAGGAATTGCAGGAGGTTGTCACACAGCGCTACAACTGCCACATCACTGCGACGCCGCTCTGGCATAAGGACAACAAGGGGAGACTGTTTGCAATGCGTGCAGTCTCTCGTAAGTGCGGTCTTTGCTGTCTATGTACATGCATGCTAACTGTCTATCGCTCGCAGCTACAAGCTTCATGGCTAGGCTCGCCCAATTTCTATGAAGTTCGGTGTCATTTGCAAGTGGGCACACCACAATGCTCGCCGTGCTGGTGGCAACACCTTTGAGATCCTGTCCGCCAGTCCTGGGGCCAGCTGCCGCGCCTCTCTTGAGGACAACATGCCAATCCCCACGTCTGATTTGACAACTCAGTCCAGCTATAGCAGCAAGGATCAAAATGAGTACCACCCCGCCGACACGAACAGAGATCATGAATGTGTTCATGATTCTGGCCATGCAGAACCAGTATAACAGTCAAGTCAATGGTAGCGGCGTGAATGGCGGCAACCACGGCAATAATGGCTACTTGCAAATGCCAACTTACTCGCTATCATACTCTGGTCCTTATCACCCTGACCAACTGGCGCAGATGTACAACATGTCAGCCGAGCTCCAGCACCCTGATGCTTCTGACTACAATGTCACTGAGCAAACATGGTCCACAAAGTGTCGCCAGATGAGCAACAATTCTGAACTGCCATTGTCTGACAGCTCGTACAGCACAGCTCGTATTTGTCAGTGTGGTTGACGTCACACTCCTTGCAGCGATTGTCGTTGCTGGATTCTAACTTCTTCTCGAGCTACGGTGGCATGTTCTGGAACACGACCCACCAACAGCACTACCAGGGAGCAGCAGCGGCATCGGTGAGCTAGCACACCAACGGCTGGCACCCACTGATGCTTCCTCTGAATAATTCACTGCAGTTTGTCCACCTGCCGATACTTCTGCCAGACAAGTCATCGACGGACTACCTGCAGACGCTGCAGTATAACGACACAGAGTTGCTCTTCAACGCATATCTGCACCTGCCGATGCCGCCACCAGCCTTGGATGACTTGTTGAAGAATGCACTCGGCTCGCTTCCGCCTCACCTGCCGATGCTCTCGCACAAGTAGGGCACCACCTACGACCTCCATGACACTGTGATGCAGACTATGAGGCTTTCAGGGCTATGAAATTCATGCACTACTGAAGGCTGTGAAAACTATGCCACAGTGTGAAGCCCAGGTATGTCTTTTTTTAGTAGTCACATCAGGATGTTGCTGACTGATCTATCAGGTCATCTGCCGTTTGTTATCCCTCGAGGCACAATGGATCTTAGTTTTTATTTTTGTGTACTATAGGAGCTGCATCAGGCTCTCGGTCATCTGGTCCAAGGTCACATCTTGAGGCCTTTATGATGCTTTAAAAGTGGGTTCTTATAAATCAAGGTTTTAGAGCTACTGTCAGCCGTATAGCATAGTTGTTTTATTATATTACTTGTCCTGCGCATGTATGGTAGTTCGCGAGTTCGAGTTCTGCAGAGTGCAATAGTAAGATTAAATAATAAATGTGGGGCTATGCCAAGTAAGTAAGGGAGGTAAACAAGAATAATAAGTAGGCAAGTAATAAGTGAATAAGATCAATGGATAAGGTAAATAAGCTAGTAAGTAAGTAAGTAGCGAAATTAGTAAGTAAACCCAGCAAGTAAGTAGACAAGTAAGTAAGTAAGTGAGTGAGTGAAGCTGTTAAGTAACAAGTAAAATTTGTAAGTAAGTAAGTAAGTAAGTAAGTAAGTAAGTAAATAAGTAAGTAATTGAGTAAAGCCAGCGGGACTCTCAATAGGCAATCCTGAGATAGTATGCGACCTCAAGAGAGAATCATGAGATCAGAGTTGAGTGTCACGATGAGCATCATGACGCAAAACTTTCTTCTCATGAGGCCAGCCCAGCATCAGACCATCATGATGCCTCGCAGTGTCTCATAATTCTCCGAACTTTTTTCTGACAAAGATCAGTTCATATTTGCTTAATGCTGCACTGCCTGGTGAAAGCTTGTAATGATGATCTCTTGGGTACAGGTGAAGATTGAATATTGAATGAGCTAGTTTATATGCTATGCTGCATCTGTCTCATGTACACTTAGCTGCTTAATTGCACAGAAACACCATAGCTTACTGAGTTGTATGACCAGAGCACATAATACACACAGTTTGCTCTATACTAAGAAATTGTGGAGTCAAATGGCATAAGCACCAGGAAATCTCCTTGAACTGATGGCACTTCTTAGTTCTCAATACCTTTCTTTTCCCTCAAGAATGAGCCAAAACATTTATTTTACAAACCCTGTTTAGTTTCAAGCTTTATCTGGAAGCATTCTTCTTCTCTGTATCAGAATATAGCTTACTCTATAGATCTCCAATCATTCTTTTCAAGATCAAATTCTTTTAAGGTCATGGTCCCAAGGTTTTAAACCTTTTAGATTTGCTTCCAACTTGCTTAAGATTACAAGTTTAAGCTAGCTTTGGATGTACTAAACCTTGACTTATACACTGCTTAAATTTTCTGCTGGCCACCTCAATTCATTTCACCTTCATGTTGAAACTGTCAGTGATAATCACACTCCAACACTAACTACAGCTAGAACAGCTCTATCAGAGACTAGGACAGGCAACTACAAGGGGTAGGCAAGGATAACTATAGGCTGGAGCTAAGGCTCAACAGTAACAGATAATGATGTGCAAGCTGAGCCTCAAAGCCTCAAAACCCTCCAGGCCCAGCCCAAAAAGTGTGGCCTGAGTCAAGCTTGGCAGTGAGCTCAAGGCCAGACTCAGAGCATAGTCAAGCCCAAGCCTGGCTTAAAAGCCCCAGCGTAGATTGGGCTTAAGTGCACTAGCTCTGTTACTGTTCTCTGAGTTTAGAATAAGATGAGAGCAATTTGATATGTACATACAAGAAAAAATGTGGATATTTTAGAATTAACAGTTTCTGCTGAGCATGATTGTGTGCCATTGTCTGGTGCCTGCTGTAAGTGTGCACTTGTGGACTTCATTGCAATTTGAGTTGTTTTCCAGGTGAAGGTTTTCTAGAGGTTATAATTTGGCAAGTACATGCAGTAATAATCTACTACACTCAAATATACTCTCTTTCGATAGCACTGAAACACTCATTGCATTGTAAGCAAGCTCGAGCTTGGTTCAATATTGCCACAAGCCCAAGCCGGGCCTGCACATCATTAGCAAAAGACTAGGAGTGAGAGGAGCTGAACTTCTGAGGGGCAAGACAGCCAAAAGTGATAGTCAGGGTAAGGACCAGCTCAAGACTGGAGATTTTATTCCAGAAATTTTGCAGCCCTATATACCCTACAGGGTAGGTACCATACAGTAATACCTAAACACACTCTGACCTACTTCAAAGTGCTACATAGAAGCTGAGCCAGAGCTTGACAAAGCCTGACATGAGTCTGATAAAGTACAGCTTACATAGGGGCTGATTCTGGACTAAGCCTAATGCTGACTGGATTGATATAGGAGCTGGAGAGTTATGATGGGAGAAAGAGGCAAAAATAGGAGAGATGTAGAGACAAAGGTAAAAGAGTGAAAATAAGCGAAAATAGGTGGAAATAGTGGTTAATTCATGACAAAGACTAATAAGACTTTGCTCAGAATCTCTGCCCCCTGTTTGAGCTTCTTCTCACAACTAATTTCCTGTCTTTACAATATTGGCTACAATGTGGTGTAGTATTTTGATAGCACAAAAGGTTCCAGGTCGAGACCTCTCTCTCTCTCTCTCTCTCTTACACACACACACATTTATTGTATGAGACTGTTTACAGGTGTAATAAACCACTTGGAAGAGCAAAAGATCAGAGAAGGTCAAAGGCTGAGACAGAAGCCTGCTATAATGCAGAACATTTCTACATGTTATAGACCCTTTAAACCTTTAAATATGCTTCTAATACTGTGTATCATATGTGCATGATGCCCTAATAGCTGTAGTAGCTCTTGAAAGGCCTTCAGCTACCTTATAAGTATAAAAAATCAGAACACAGCAGAAATAACAGAAGGTTATGGTCTATAGCAGTCCAATCTACTGTGAAACATATATCAAAGCTATATATGGACGTATACATATAGACTGGAATGTATGGAAACCATAGAATGTAGAAGACAGAAGGAATCAAGTCAAAAATACTTGTCTCTGCAATTACAGCAAAGAAGTGTGGATTGTACTATTAGAGGTAGTTAATAAGGTATTAATTATATTTCTATATAGTTACCAATATGATGAGTAGTGTCTATGAATATTTTGATGAATTTATAATTTGTATACAGTGTACAGTGGCTGGGCTAATCTTGCAAACATCAGCAAATATGTTTGCGCTCATTTGAGCGCCATAAGCGCCGATTCTGGGAATATCCGGGCACATTAAATGGTGTTTTCGCATGCCGCGGATTATATCCGCATTTTAGCGGATTTATCCAAAATCTATTGGAGGGGTGACAGCTCTGTGATTCTGACACCATTTTCGCTGTTGAGAAGTACATCCAAGCCTGTACCATGCCATCCACCCAAAGGAGGCCCTCATCCAGTCATATCTTTGTGTATATTTACCATACGCAGCATGAACAGGTGTGCAGTCGGTGTATTGAACCTTAACTCTCTCTGAAACTGGCCAGAAACAGTCAAAACAGCCTTCAGAAGCCTCAAAACAAGCTCAAACAAAGACCGCGCCCTTTCGGCGCTTAAGCGCCCGTTACTAATGGTGGTTCACGTAGTCCCGGCTGCAGATCTGGCAGATCTGCAGCTGGGACTACGTGAACTGCTATGACTAAGCATCTAGAGAGGCTTCTGAGGCCTGCCAGATTCATAGGCCCACCTCTCCTCCAATAAATTTCCCATATTTCCGCTAAAATGCGGATATAATCCGCAGCATGCGAAAACATACGTGAGTTTCAATTGCCGGTGTTCATTGTGCCAAAATGGGTGCAAGCATGTCTGCTGCCCTGTACAAGGTTATTCCCACCACTGTACACTACACATCTACTGTAAATTGACCAAAATATTTACAAAGACTCCTTAACATGTTGGAAACCATGTGAGGATACATGAGGACCACATTTATCAGCTTAGGAAGGGTAGGAGCAGAGAGAAAGGCAGACGGCACTTGAGCACTTATTGAGCACTTAGGT